ATATATATAAAATATCTATATTTATATTTTCGGAGATATTTTTGAAATAAATCATGGGTTTCACTACAATTTACGATAAACATTTTTAAAGCAAAATTTTAAATTGACTCGAATTGTATATACAATAATATAAATATTATTCAAAGTATATATAACAAAATGAATTTCACGGTACGGAGTTATATGGTGGGACATGTTTGCGTCGATATTAATACGGGACGGTATACTACGGGTGAAATCCTAGAATTAACAATCAAATACAATTATATAATTTTAAACACTAAACAAAACAAATAATATTCACAAAACAATTACAACTTAAAATTTTAGTTATAAAAAATCGATCCGAGCTGTACCGCGAGATAATATATATATATAAACATTTAAATCAAACAAAACAATAGGTTATATCAATAAATAATTTTGAAAAAATAAATTTTAATTTTTTTTTTTAAAGTATATAGCCGCGCGGTATACCGCGGGCTAATTTCTAGTTAAATACAAAAGTTCCGTCCCGCAGTAATAACGTATCTTCCATTCAGGCCCTAAGGGTAAAAGAATGGATCAATTTGAGTTTTTTTTTGGGAAAAATGTCGATAAAATCCCCAATTTATTCAAAACGTTGATTTAAATCCTCAACTCATGACGAAACGAAATAAATATCAAACTTATGTTGACTTTCCAAATAAATATCAAACTTCCGTTGACCTGGCCATATTAGGTACGACGTTAAGTGGGTTGATAGATCTCGTTAACGAAGTTAATTTTCTGTTAACATACATGTTAATTGATAACGACATTGTTTCATATAACAACAAAACGACGTCGTTTTGTCGTAACGATTGAATTAAATCCCTAAAGTCAATCTTAGATCCCCAAATTGAGTAAAATCCCTAACCCTAAATCTTCATATGATTTGAAACTCGGGATTTTATTGAGCAGTTACGACAAAACAACGTCGTTTTATGTTTAGAAAGAATATTGTCATTTTTAATTAGCGGGTCTGTTAACAGAAAATTAATCCCGTTAACATGGTCTGTTAACTCACTTAACGTCAAGCCTAATATGGTAAAGTCAATGAAAGTTTGGTGTTTATTTGGACAGTCAACATAAGTTTAATATTTATTTGGAAAGTCAACATAAGTTTGATATTTATTTCGTTTCGTCGTGAGTTGAGGATTTAAATCAACGTTTTGAATAAGTTGGGGATTTTTATGACATTTTTCCCGTTTTTTTTTTCACTCAAGCGTATGCCACGTCAGCAGAACTTAACGAGTTAAAATTTTGAATTTTTTTTAGTCGACCGTTTCAAAGACTCAAAGTGACAGCTACTCTATATATATGTTGATTGACAAGTGACAACACGTCGCTTCTCTAAAAATCACAACGTCTCTTTTTGTTCGTGGCAATTCGGGAAACATCAATCAAGTTCTCTCACCCAGATTCACATCGCTTCTCAAATCCAAAATCTACAGAGTACGAAATTTCTTTCTTTTCTTCGTGTTATCTTATCTCTCTCTGTTTGTTTGCGCTCTTAAGTTTAAGTTTCGTAATCGGAGATCGTATTTGCTCTCTCAGAATCGGTGTAATTAGGGTACTTCTCTCTAATTTTGTTGGTTTACTCAAGTCCAAAATCTACAGAGTCTGAAAGATTCTGACTTTCTTACTTCTTTTGTACGTTTGTTCTCATCAAGTTAGGGTTTTTAATCGGAGATCTTAATTGCTCTCTCAGAATCGCTGTAATTAGGGTATTTCTTTCTATTTTTGTTGGTTTTCTCAAGTCCAAAATCTACAGAGTCTGAAAGATTCTGACTTCTTTTGTACGTTTGCTCTCTCAAGTTAGGGTTTTTAATCGGAGATCTTAATTAAAGTATTTGTCACTGATTTTCTAGGTAAGAAATCCAAAATCTGCCGAGTCTGAAAGATTCTTCCTTTCTTATTTATTTTGTATGTTTGCTCTCTCGAGTTAGGGTTTCGTCATACATTATTACTCAGATTTTCTCAATCCAAAATCTACTCTTCTTTTTTTTTTTTTGTCATACTTACCTTTCTTTGTGTGCTTGCTCTCTCAATTTAGGGTTTATTAATTTCTTACTTCTCTCTCAGAATTGTTGAAATCAGGGTATTACCGTCAGATTTCTTGTTCTAATAATTTTTTTTTTATTGTAGATAAAATGTGGAGTAGCGAAGATGATCAGAATGATACAGAAAAACTGTAATTTCTCAATTAGAATGAATCGATAACTCAAATTGGATTAACGTTCATAAAACGCAAAACCAAATCTCAAATGCTTGAGTATAGATTGAAGAAACAACCCCAGCAAGATGAGTACAACACCATAACAATCTCAGAGAGTTAACAAAAGAAAAGAAGGAGAAAGAGATAACAATCTCAAAACAACAATTTCACATCAATCTCTGTAATCTGTTTTTGCTTCCTTTTAACGCTTCTTCTTCACAATCTTGAGCTCCAATTAATCTCAGCCATTGATCCACTTCTAATCATGACCATCCACGTGTCATTAACTTCACCAATCTCATTTTCCTATATCAAATCCTTCCTCTCCAAACAACCATGCCCACATGGTTGAAAAGAAAGATATTGCTGCAACACATCATACAAAATTCCCCAAGTAGTCTCAGCTTCATCCATATTTGATCACTTAACCAGAACTGGAACTTCATTGTAACTTCAGTTTTCATGAACCAAGTAGCCTCATCTTTCCATATTTGACCACCTAACCAGATCCACAACTTCAACTTAAAAGAGAAATTCATGAATATTGAACCTCCAGGATCCCAAACTCGGTTGTTAATGTCCCAGCTCTTAATTTCTGACCCATAAGCACCAATAGTCTGACCCGAAGTACATCCCCGAAGCATCTCAACAGATTCTTTATCAACTTCGGCCTTCCCCATAAACGGCCATTTCTTCTGTCTTTTCTTATATGTAAACAACTTCATTTTGCATATAGACTTGTTTTTATAGTGAAATTTCCAGAACTTAACACACTTCAACTTCTTCTTAGAACTAGCCTCCTCCCACCAGAACTTGATGAATCTCAATTTGCTGTCCTTTGAGATTTTAAATTTGAACTTCCATGATTTAGGAGACTTACTAGGTTTCGTCTGTTGAGTTAATATGTGGCTTCTTAGGCGCATTCCATTGGACTCTTGGTAGTCATAAGAATTGTTACCCTCCTCAATTACAATCTGAAATTGTTGAATGTCCTTCGATTCAATATCCCTTCTATAACCAGATTGTGAATCAGCAACAACAAATCCAATTGGTGGCAGCAAGTGATTCATTGTTGCATCAGCTTTATCAAAGTCCTCAAAGGTTGAACTAACTTGTTGAAGTCGTGAAACACATTCTATGTCTGTAGAGTGAATCTCGGCTTGTTCTTGAATCAACTGATTCTGTTCAATCCATGAAGCTATTTCACACTCTTCTACGTTGAATCCCAACACTTCCACAACATCCGAAATTTGATCATCATCACTAGACATCGCACCATCAATTTCTACCAAATCTTTCTTCACCTCCTCAACCTCATTCTCTACCAAGTCTGAACCACTAAGGAATCGATCTTCATCATTATCTATCATGCATATACCATCATTACTCATAGAAGTTCCTGTAGTTTTACTTGAAACATTTAAAGGCTGGACTCCTTTTTGATAATCATCACTCCTTGTGCTGATAATCACACTCGTTGGATGAGCAGTCTCATATAATCGTCCCAGCATAAAGCAGTGCCGAATTGTCTGAGGTCGAAACATCCGAACATTCATTTGAGTATCAAATCTCAGCCCTGCCAAGTAAATACTAACCAGGTCTGCTTCAGATAGATTCACCTGAGACTTAAGCAGCTCAAATTTTTTATGAAAATCCTCAATTCCATCTGTTTCCTGTAATTGTTTCAACTCAACAATTGGATCAACCTCTAGCTCCTTAAATCTGCCTTGCAACAACATTTTGTAAGTCACCCAATCGTGCCTAACATGCTTCCACAGAACTGATTGCAAAATCCATTGATGCCAAGTAGCAGCAAGATCATCAAAATGAATTGATGCGAAACTAACTTTTAATTCCTCCGGAGTATGATCAATTAAGAAAAACTGTTCGATCTGGAACAACCATTCCTTAATTTTATCACCATTAAATCTGAGATGCTCAAGTTTCGCAAAACCAGTAACCTCTGAATAGTTGTTCGACATACCAGATCTCTCTTTGCTGGTGTCATGAGTGACGATCGGAGTTGTATACATCAGCCGTGAGGATCTTCCGCTGTTGTAAGCTCTTGTATCCACCATTGAATTTCCGATGCGCGGTGAGACTTGAACACCGAATTGCTGATTCGTCGTCGATGCTTCCCTTGAACGCACGTCTGCCATGGATTCCGAGAATCTGTTGGCTCTGATACCTTTGATACAGAAAAACTGTAATTTCTCAATTAGAATGAATCGATAACTCAAATTGGATTAACGTTCATAAAACGCAAAACCAAATCTCAAATGCTTGAGTATAGATTGAAGAAACAACCCCAGCAAGATGAGTACAACACCATAACAATCTCAGAGAGTTAACAAAAGAAAAGAAGGAGAAAGAGATAACAATCTCAAAACAACAATTTCACATCAATCTCTGTAATCTGTTTTTGCTTCCTTTTAACGCTTCTTCTTCACAATCTTGAGCTCCAATTAATCTCAGCCATTGATCCACTTCTAATCATGACCATCCACGTGTCATTAACTTCACCAATCTCATTTTCCTATATCACAGAAGGCAGAAGCTCGTGGATCTTTGCCAAGAACAGGTGCGACCAAGTTTGATATGCTCGATTCTGAAGAAAGATGCGGAATCTTGGAAAAAAAGACTGCAAGAACTTAAGGAACAGCACTGGAAAAATGAGAATGAATTCAAATATGTTTTGTCTGAAAGGAGAGATGTCACTCTCTGTTTACTGTGCCCCAAGAACATCATTGGTGGAATCATTGGAAAAGGACACCAGAATATCAATCGGATCAGACAAAAGACAGGAGCTATGATTACCATTTGTCCATCAGGCAATGGTGAAGATGCCATGGTTGTCATATCTGCTTCTGAGGTAAGAAATAATTATTTCTTAAGAGTTTATATGATTTGATTACTTTATTTGATTTTTGCTATTAATGTCTTTTCTATCCTTGTGCAGATATGTGAGCTTCATTCTCCAGTTGAGTATGCAGCACAGTTACTTTTTCCTTTCACTACTGATGAATCTGGAGGCTCATACAGAATAAGAGTTCTTGTGGAGAAGAATACTAAATCTGAGTGCTTAGATGAACATTGGATCTGTCAGGTGAAGCAGATCTCTGAAGCTGTGATCATAATTTCTTCAAATGGGGACAATCAAATTGTCGAGATAATTGGATTAAGGGATGTGGTCAAGAAGGCATTCGATAGAGTTCTTTTGCGTTTAAGAAGACATTGTTTCAAACTATTAAGGTAATTTTTTTCTTTCTGAGCCTATCTTCTAAGTTGCTTTGTTGATTGCTTTGATTCTTTACTGAAATGAGAACTGATCTGCTCTGTCTTATGGTACTTACAGTGACGAAGCAGCTTCTCGTTTTTCAGCTAAGCGCCCACCTGAGAAAGTCAGCCGAGATACACTGTGAGTATTTTTAATCAGAATCCTAGTTTGATCCTGCACTTACTTACATATGTTCTTTTTGATCTTGTGTTGCAGATAATTTCGAGGGGATGTGTGACTGTGAGCCATTTTTCTGAGGATGCAAAAGAAGACATGCGGTTTTGTCTTTCTTTCTTTGTTTTCTGCTTTTTGAGATGAGTCTTTAGTTTGGGCTCAAATATATTCTTCTGTAATGTCTCTGTCTGATTTCCAACTCCATCACTCTAATATGTGTTCTGTGGGAATACAAACACAACAATTTCATGTTTGAATCATTTTTGCTGACCTTCAGATTTCAATATATGACCTTATGTGTTTGAGGCATGTGTCATGATGAAGATAGGTAACACACGCCCAATACCTTGAATGATGTGAACCTCTTAGGCTGATCAATATGAAGCTTTAGAGTCAAATCTAGCCAATAAGATAAAGCCTATCAATGAGCAAGCTACTGATTTATGGTCATTGATAGCTTCTCTTCACCATAGATGCAGGCAGCATCCCAAAAGTCGAAACAAATATACACACATAATTGAAACATTCCCATTATTCATCAATAGCTCAAACTAAAATAGTTTACTTAAATTTCGTTTGAAGCCAGTTACATTGTTATTTGCACTGAACAGTTTCAATTACATTTGAATGATTTCTGGAATTGGTTTTGACTCATGGAGATTCCTGTTTGTTTTCATCATCAGAAGACAAATCCTTGCAGTGATTAGACTTAAGAGACAGAGAATCCATCGTATCCGAAACAAACATAGGTTGTTCTGGCTTTGGAAGATCCATCGTTGACGTCAACATTGACACAGCTTGTTTGATGTTTGGTCTGTCCATTGCTTGGTGTTGAACACAGAGCAAGCCTATCTGAACACATCTCATCACTGCTTCAACTGAATCTAAAACATCAATGTCTTGATCCAGTAGATCCACTCCTCTGGTTTCGCTCCATGATTCCCATGCCTGTTGCAATGATCCAAAAGATATAAGGATTCATTTTGATTCGTATCAAATTCTTGACTCTTTAAGTGTGTTTCTTACATATGCAACAAGGTTTTTTTTCCTCTTTCCCATGGCTAAAGCTCGATATCTCTTTCCCGCTGACGATTTCCAGCATCGAAACCCCAAAGCTATAAATGTCAGATTTCTCAGAGTATGTCCCTGTCCACGCATATTCAGGAGACATGTATCCCCTGTTCGAATGTCAATTGATTTTAGAAAAAAAAAAAAGGTTAGTTTATAGAATGTGAGACTTTGATTCCAGCATGTGACAATAGGGAGAAGAAGAGGAGTGGTTCTTACAAAGTTCCAAATACTCTGCCACTGTTGTCTTGATTTTGAGTTCCTTGAAACTTCCTAGCCAACCCAAAATCTGATATTTTGGGATTCATCTTCTCGTCCAAGAGAATGTTGCTGGCCTTTAGATCGCGATGTACAACTCTGACTTGAATGATACTGAATCTCTTAGGCCAATCAATCTCCAGCTTCTTCTTAAAATCTAGAGAATACCACAGCAATGAAACTGATCAGCATGTTAGCCATAGATGGATATTGGCAAAAGCAGAGGTAGAAATGCAAAGTAAGGACTGACCGAAGAGAAAAGTGTCAAGGCTTTTGTTGACCATAAACTCATAAATCAATAGCTTCTCTTCTCCTTGAATACAATATCCTAAAAGCCGAACCAAGTTTCTGTGTTGTAGTTTTGAGATGAGTTTTAATTCGTTCATGAATTCCTCTGTGCCCTCTCCAGAGCTGTTAGAAAGACGTTTTATAGCTATTTCTTTCCCATCTTTTAGCTTTCCCTGTAAGCAGAAAGAGTTGCAGAAAGAGTTGCAGAGAGAGTCATAAAGAGAACAAGAAAGACAACAACAGAAAAGAGCAAAAAAGAGAAGGCATCATCTATGATCATCTACCTTATAAACTGTTCCAAATCCACCTTGACCGAGTTGATTTGACACGCTGAAATTATCGGTCGCTGCTTGTATGGTATGCATCTCAAAGAAATTTGAACCTGAGACATCATGTGATTGCAAACCATTCTTCCAAGAATCTTCTGAAATATCCATGGCTACACGAGCTTCACCTACGAGTTAAATGGATCCATCCATGTGTTAGTACATATTTTCTAGCATTTTAGGATCAGGCCAGAGCTCAAAATTGATGGAGCTTCAAGCAAAGATCTGGTAGCTAAAAAGCCAATAAGATCATACACAACAAACGAGAAACATAGAGAGTGAGCTTTTAATCTTTTTTTTTGGAGTCTCACCATTTTGTTTCACTCTGTATCTCCAACACCCAAATGCCGCAAGCACCAAGATAAAAAACACACAAAGGCTGATAGCGCTAACAGCGATGATCTTGATTCGCTTGCCTCTAGCTAGGAGAACCACCAAGAAACTTAACTGTAAGTCATATTGTTACTGAACAAACCGTAAACAAAAATGTAAAAAGTGAAGTCTTTAAGCCCTACCTAACTCAGAACATGCAAGACGGATGGAAAGAAACTCTCCTTCTTCAGTAAACTGAACCATGTCCAATAGCTCCTGGTTCCACACCAAGCATCCAATTTTATTAATATAGGCAAAGGCCAAGCAAGAACAGTTGCGGAGACATCTGTTGGCATTGCTCTGCATCACCAAAGCTTGGTAATTCGTAAGAATCCGGAGGCTTAATATTGGCAACACGGTAAAATCCGTCTGGTGTGTCTTTGCCTTGTGTTGTTGACGATGAATTTCCCTGACATGATGATAATTATGTTCGTCTCACACACCCACGAGTCCAGTTTCCATTATTCCACTCATCATCTGACTTTGGCACAAACCCTCTCAAGCATTTGCAGGTTGGAGTACTAATGGACCTCATACACAAACCATAAGGTCCACATGTACCGTAGAGATCACATGAGCTTAAAGGACCTTGAAAATGCTTAATTCACCCGGTGGTGCCACCATTACTACAGTGAATATCCAATGATCCATCAGACGTTAGCTTGATATAAGACACATCAAAATTTCTTAATGCACAAAAAGTCAAAACTCCTGTGCCATTCACCAAATCTTGGACCATAGTTAATGGATTTACATATGTTTTATCCATTTCCGGTATCCCACTGAACCTTGTGTCCACCCATGGCCGCTTCTCCAATAAGGTGATGACCCTTTCCATACAAGTCCTTGAGGGGGAACTTGTGGCGTAAGCTCTGCTACAAATTCACCAGGAGATGGATCTGTATTAGTCTTCCAAGAAGTCAACACACGCCTTGTGTTGTTAAGAGTACTGTACATAGCGATGAGAGAGGAAGCATAGTATCACCAGGATGCTCGAAACTTTCCCATAGATACTTCCCAGTAACATTATCTATGAGGACAAGATTTCCGGAGTTTAAAAGCTCAGCACGACATTCGTTAGCTGTAAGAACCTCTCTTCCAGATGACCACACAATGTCTTGTTTCTCATCAAGCAAGATAAGGCTCCCATTGCTGCTGATGGTGAGATTCGCCGTGAGGCTCGTTACCGGTTTTTCTCTATTAGCTACCCAAACATACACTCGAGGAGTGATTCTCTTGAACCAGATTCCAATGTACTGGTGATTTTGAGAGCTGTTAGGACTGAAGAAACCTAGTTCAAAGGAGTCATTAGGAGAGCTCAGAATTTGTCTTATCGACAAAGGACTCGATGTGGTTATAGCTGCATAGCCATAACTTGAGAACAAGGTTAGCAAAAGCAAGCAAGGAAAGTTAAAAAAACACCATCTTTCCTCTCTCTATGTGTCTGCAAGAGATCTTCCTTGAGAGATTCAGTGTAATGATTAAAATAAAGTTTCTTCAGACGAATATGAAACCTAGAGATGTTCTGATATTCAAACAAGTTATCTTGACCAAGCAATCTTATTGGCATCTTTTTACATTCAAACATCCTAGATTGACTAAAGAAGACACACACGCTTATAATATTAAACCAAACATATCACATCACTTGACTTTTGCAATTTTTATAATCCTTGTTGCATGAATGCATCAAAAATCAAAAGATCTTATTGTCATTACACGGAATAAAGTACAATACTTTGAATATCTCAACTGAAAGAAACAAATATTCACAATTCCTGAACAAACAATGCCACAAAATCGTTGCAATTCACCTAATTACTACGAAATTATTTAGTTTATTTGCCGTTGAATATCTGGCCGTAGCTAGTCATGATCATATAATCAGTTTAAATTCAATGATAAACAACGTGCACGTCGACCAATCATATGGATACAACAATGCAGAGAATGTTTGACTGATTAGAAGATTGAACAAGATTTTCAATTTGTTGTGTTTAATAGCCAATCAAGAGACTTTTAGTGTGTACCTGGTTTGGTTTCTTCTCTTTATGTTGTACCTCTTGGTAAGGCAATTATGTCTCCAGTAAACAAATATAATAGCAAAAAATCCAAGAAAGCTGGATACAAAGAAAACCCCTCTTGAGGAAAAGAAAATCATCGGTAAATTAAAAATGAAAATGTTAAATTACAATGGTTCATGTGTAAAAAGAAAGAGAGAAGAATTAATTTGACAGAGCAGAGAATAAACTTTGGAAATAATAAACAGAACCTATGGGTTTGGTAGATTTGAAGAGTAAATCATAAGATTTGGTATGGAGATCATGAATCACCAGTGGATCAAAGTAATCACGACTTTGAAGCAATAACTTATTTTTCTCCAGAATTGCTATTGGCGACAGCGGAAACTTGGGTTCGCCAAACCAAGAAAATGTTTTGGTGAGATCTATTGAATACATTTTCTTCCAAGTCTTGTGGTCTCCTGAAGAATCGAATGACCACATGTCTTGGGTGGGCCAGTTTTTCTCGGAAACGCACAAGCGGTTATCAAGGATGCACATGGTGACGTTGCAAGGGTCACGTAGATGGGAAAAGGGAGCCTTAGAGATGACTTGAAAAGTTTCCTTGTGAAGATCAAAAGATAATAACTTGGTTTCTTCACACTCGGTAAACCAATAAAGTGAACCATCTAAATACACGGGAGTGTGGTAAGCAAGAATCCGATAAGGAGAAGCCGGGAGAACGTACCTCCAAGCGTTAGTGCTAAAATCGAAAACTTCACAAGTGGTAACGTTGTCGAGGCCAAACTCGGATGAGTTATATAACCAAACCGGTTTGTATGTGCCCGTGAATTTGTCTTTACCGAATCCAAGCTCAGGATATGAGAAGCCAACAGTTCCTTTGTTATACTTGTCAATGAGGAGCTGTTGAATGTTGGAAAGAGGAAAACTTTGACGCCATCCAGTGGCGGGATTCACCACGACACTCGGTACTTCAAAACAGTAGATGCATAGTAGACCGTCACAACTACCATGGCAGATCATGCTGCCCGAAGCGGGGAACCTGACCGTACGAACCATGGACGACCCGAACTGCACAATTCTTCGAGCATCAGTATTCAGACCATCATCCCCAAAACAGGTGAGGTACACGAAAAGAACATCAGGACCTCGGGATTGCATACGACGGATCAACTGTCGTTCCTGGAAACAGCGGGACGCAATAGTCGATTTCCACTTGTTGGATACAGACTTGAACCTCAGCAGAGATTCCACAGGAAGTCTCTCGAGGATGAGCTCTACAACATCGTGTGGTAGCAGCAATTCCACCACACTGGACCGATGTCTTTTCAAAGCCAAACTGGAGCCATGTCTTTTCGATCCAACAACACTCGGGCGATCTCTTTTCAACATTGTCTTGTGTCTCTCTAATTGATCAACAGACGAATTGAGGCTACAAATATATATATATACACAAACACGAGCTGAGCTAAGGAAATCGCAAAAAAAAAAAAAAAAAGAAAGGAAAACTTCCATTAACGAAATGGTAATTATAACTCTCTAATTGTGATTTTTTAAAAATTGTTATCTGATAAATAAATATTAAAAACAAATAATCTGAAACAAAATATTACGGATTTCATAAAATCAAATCAAATAAAAAATAAATCAAATCACAAAAACAAAAGCTAATTAAAATCACAGCGAGTACCTCACGAAATGATAGCATCAAATCCCTCCTCCTCAGGAATCGATTCCTCTCTCTATCTCCTTGGAACAACCTTAACTATATATATGAGTGTCGATGTCGATGCGGCTGATACAGGCGGAGGAGAGACACAGAGATCGCATCGTAATCTCAGACCAAGTTAGCTACACACCCTTATGTCTTCTGGGCTTTGATTTTAAATTGGGCTTAGAACCCATATAACCCTTTTCCTATAAAGTAAACAAAATAAAATCACTTGTATAATAATAACCACTATTGGCAAAGATTTCTAAAAAGCAGAATGTTAACAACTTTACAAATTAGACACAATAAAATAAAAGGAATTCAAGTTTTAAACCCATATTCAATTCTAATAATCTCAAATTATAGGATCGCCTTCAAATTAGAGGATCGCCTTCAAATTATGTACATTGTTAAGTGGTGTCTAGAAATAAATATCAACTCCGATCGATAATTCCGTATTAAAAAAGTAATAAATATTATAACTTGGGCTATGGCAATGGCGCAAAATCCTTAAGCTAAGGCCATTAGAGCAACATTATTGGGAGGTGCTTAGTTTTGGTTCTTAGTAAATTTTTTGGTTCTTAGCCCAATTTTTGACTCTTAGCTAAGAGTCATTCCTTAGCAAAATCATCAATTACACCTTTAATTTTAATCTCTTTTGAGCTAAGAACCAAGTTAAGCACCTCCCAATAAGGATGGTCTTAGCGGCTGAATTTACACGTTGTGAGATTGGCGATGGAAGTAATACTTATTTCTGGCTTGATAAGTGGCTCCCAATAGGCCGGCTAGTGGATATAGTCGGACCTGTAGGCTTTTACAAATTTGGTGTTCCGAAATTTGCAAAGGTATCCGAAGTAGTTAATGACGCGGGTTGGAACTTTCGTCGTTGTCGGGACAGAAATTTGTTGGAAGTAATTCAAGGCATTCGGGGCTTAAAAGTCCCAAACAGAGAAGCGGGTAGGGATATGGTTTTGTGGAGACATTCTTCGGGTGACTTTCGACCTACATATGCTGCTGCTAGTACTTGGGACCAGCTGCGATCTCGTGGGGATGCATGTATGAACGGTGAATGTTTTGCTGACTTCATTGATCAGCCATTTCAATGTTAAAGCAGCTAGTCGCATCTTTTTTTTGTTTTTTTGGATAAATATCTGAACGAAGAATTTTGTAATGTCAGTGGTTTTTATCAAGTCATGTTGTTATGGTGCTTCGATAAATTTGTTTAATTATCCTGAGCTTTCAAGCGCTTTTTGTTTTATTATCATTCATGCCTATAGTAAAACCTTCCTGTAAAACTACAACCTTTTTTGTATATCTAAGGTTGATCTAGCCATGTTTTATAGGCCAATGTTTTGGTGATTGCATTGGTCAATCAATTCTGAAGAAAACAGGAGAGGTAAACTTCATTTCTTCTTTTTCATTGTAAGTAAATTCTATTGACTTAGTCTATGAAAAAAAAATTGAATCATGTAATAGGTGTCTTCAAAGTGATATTTCTAAGTTTCTGTCATGTAAGAGGTGTCTTCAGTTCTCTCAGGTCAACAAGACAGATATGATCTAAGTGATCTCTTTGGATGACGCTCCTCATTTGTGATTTTAAACCCTATCAAACATAACTAAGAAGGCTTGCAGAATATTTGCCAATGAGGATGCTTGTGTTATTTGCAGTTTCAGAAATATATGAATGTTGTGTTACCAGTTTTATAATAGCTAACCCTCACTGTTCCTCTTTAGTTCCCAAATTTATTTGGATTTTCTAAATTTTCGTAATGTAAACCTCTGATTTTGCTAGCTTGAATAGATAATTAGTTGGAATTTTTGGTGACTTAATTGATCAAACAGTTGTGTTAAATTATCTGAGAATGTTTAAGGGGAAAGTTTAGGTTATCTGTGTTGTTTACGTTAACAGTAAGAGCAAAGCTTGCCGTTTTGTTATCACAAAAACAACACACAGTTCTCTTTCTCTCAATCTGCTCAAAATCTATCTTCCAGAGATACAGTAGTCACGTAAAAAAAAAATTGTTGAGCAAAATTTGATCGATTGAGATAGATTCTTCCCTTCTTCGTTAACCATATCACAAAGTTTTCTCAATCGGGTAGATTTTGCTCAACAATTTTTTGACATCGAATAAGGTAACATGAATTTTCTCTCTCTTTTTCTTCCTGTTTCGTGTTATAAGGTTTCATACTCTGATGCAACATGTGAGCTTCGTCTCACTGAAAATTGTGAGTAAACTTTGATTGACTCTTTTGATATTCTACAATGTTTATTGCAAATTGGTCGATTTATTCAAAAACCCCCATTGATGTGTATAGATAAAGTTTTAAGACTAGTGCAGTGTTTTTGGTCGTTTTAGACAAATTGATGGCATGAGTCTAGACGGCAATGATTTTTACGAGTTTGTCACATTGATAACACACAAAAGCTGTCGTCGGTTGGTGGATTTCTTCATAGACCCATTGATACGTCGTAAAGACTAAAGACTAGTGCCATGTTTCATCAGTTTTAAACAGTTGACTAGTTGACTTGGATGGCAAGAGTCTAGACGGCAAGAATCCATGCCATTTTGGAAAAGTCACGCATATAAAGACATTTTGCGTTTGCTTCGTCCTTTATATTCACGTTCCTGCAAATTATGAGAAGCACCAAAAGCTTTTAACTAAAGAAAATCTTTTTTATATAAAAAAAAACTTTGAGAAGCATGAGAGTGTTTCTTTTACTTTCTTTGAATGCTCTTATGTTACTTAAAGCATATGGCTTTACCGATGAATCTGATAGGCTAGCATTGTTCGAGTTCAAATCTCAAATATCTCAAGGCAAAAGAGCTGTTTTGTCCTCATGGGATAACACCGTCCATGTGTGCAACTGGACTGGGGTTACATGTGGCCGCAAACACAAGAGAGTTACTCGTTTGGAGCTCGGAGGATTGCAATTAGGCGGAATGATATCACCATCTATTGGTAATCTTTCCTTTCTCATATGGCTTAATCTCTCTGGTAACTCTTTTGTTGGTACCATCCCACACGAGGTGGGAAACTTGTTTAGGCTTGAACACTTGGATATGAACTTTAATTATATCAAGGGAGATATTCCAGCCAGTTTGGCTAACTGCTCTAGATTGTTGGAGCTTCAGATTAATTCAAATCATCTTGGAGGATATGTTCCTTCAGAACTAGGGTCATTGACGAAGCTTGTTACTTTAGATCTTTATGGAAACAACCTAAAAGGAAAGCTCCCTGATTTTCTAGGTAACTTAACATCCCTTAAAGAAGTTGGATTTGGAGGTAACAATATACAAGGAAGAATTCCGGATAATATAGTTAGATTGACTCGAATGGTGTATCTTGACTTATCACGGAACAATTTCTTAGGTGTTTTTCCTCCCCCTATTTACAACTTGTCCTCACTTTATGTTTTATACATCTTTGGGAATAGTTTCTCGGGTGGTCTGAGGGATGATTTTGGTAATTTGCTACCCAACCTTCAAAGGCTATATATAGGAAAGAATCATTTCACAGGAGCTATTCCAACTACACTTCCCAATATAACGAGTCTTCAAGGATTGGGAATGGAGTTTAACAATCTAACAGGAAGTATTCCTCCAGGCTTTGGAAAAATGCGGAATTTGAAAATATTATCACTTCATAGCAATTCTTTCGGAAGTGGCTCTTTTGGAGATCTTGAGTTTCTTGGTGGGTTGACTAACTGCACCAAACTAGAAATCTTAGAGGTTGGTCGTAATAAGTTAGGGGGTAGCTTGCCTACTTCCATTGGTAATCTGTCCACGGAGCTCAACCTTTTAAGCCTTGACACAAATCTCATCACTGGTAGCATTCCTCATGAGATTGGGAATCTCATAAGTCTACAATCACTTTGGTTGGAGAAAAATCTGTTGACGGGACCACTTCCGACCTCTCTTGGGAAGCTTTTAGGATTGATGAAATTAAGTCTGTATTCAAATAGGCTGTCAGGAGATATACCATCTTTTATAGGCAACCTCACTTGGTTAGAGTCACTCTACTTGTACGACAATCTTTTCGTAGGATTCATTCCTCCGAGCCTCGGTAATTGTAGTCACCTGCTGGAATTGTGGATTGGGGATAATAAGTTGAATGGGACTATACCTCGGGAGATTATGCAAATTTCACCCCTTCTTACCCTAAGCATCCCACGTAATTTCTTCACTGGCTCTCTACCTGAAGATGTTGGGCGACTAGAAAATCTTGTTACACTATCACTTGAAAATAATAAATTATCAGGACAACTTCCACAGACTTTGGGGACCTGTCTCTCGATGGGAGAACTCTATCTACAAGGAAATTTGTTTAATGGAGCCATTCCAGATATAAGAGGGTTGGTGGGTATTAAAGAAATTGATTTCTCGAACAATAATCTCTTTGGAGTTATACCTGGATATCTTGCAAATTTTTCCAAGTTGCAGTATCTCAATCTATCCATTAACAATTTCGAGGGAAGAGTGCCAACAGAAGGAAAATTTCAGAATGCATCTCTAGTTTCAGTGTTTGGAAACAAAGATCTATGTGGAGGCATCAGGGAGTTGCAACTAAAGCCATGCTCAAGGCAAGAACCACCAATGGGAAGAAAGCATTCCTCTCTTTCAAGGAAAGCTGTGATATGGGTCAGTGTAAGCATAGCTTTGCTTTTGCTGGTGTTCATAGCTTTAGTTTCTCTACGCTGGTTGAGAAAGAGAAAGAGAAACCTCCAGACCAATAATCCAACTCCTTCCACGTTGGGGGTCTTTCATGAAAAGATTAGTTATGGAGAGCTTCAAAATGCAACAGATGGTTTCTCTTCAAGCAATTTGATTGGGTCAGGTAGTTTTGGTACTGTGTTTAAGGCATTGCTCCCTGTGGAGAATAAGGTTGTTGCAGTCAAAGTTCTAAACATGGAGAGACGTGGAGCAATGAAGAGCTTTATGGCAGAATGCGAATCCTTGAAAGACATAAGGCATCGTAATCTTGTAAAATTGTTGACAGCTTGTTCGAGTATTGATTTCCAAGGAAACGAATTTAGAGCTCTCATCTATGATTTCATGCCAAATGGAAGCTTGGATATGTGGCTGCATCCAGAGGAAATAGAAGAGATTCATAGGCCCTCGAGAACCTTGACACTTCTTGAAAGGCTGAACATTGCCGTAGATGTGGCTTCTGTTTTGGACTATCTTCATGTCCACTGCCATGAACCTATAGCCCATTGTGATCTAAAGCCAAGCAACGTCCTTCTAGACGATGACCTGACTGCCCATGTTAGCGACTTTGGTCTGGCTCGGCTCCTCCTCAAATTCGACCGAGAGTCCTCCCTCAATCAACTAAGCTCAGCCGGAGTCAGAGGAACCATTGGCTATGCCGCTCCAGGTAAAACTATCCCACATCTGTAATGTTCTATGAGAGAAATCAGTACTATACTCTATTTGCATTACAATCTCCTTCTTGTTGTTTCTGTGAATTACGGTGCAGAATATGGAATGGGAGGGCAGCCTTCAATACATGGTGATGTGTATAGCTTTGGGGTTCTCCTTTTGGAAATGTTCACGGGAAAGCGACCAACCAATGAGTTATTTGGGGGGAACTTTACACTACACAGCTACATCAAATCTGCGTTGCCAGAGCGAGTATTGGATGCTGCCGATGAATCAATTCTTCACATCGGTCTCAGAGTCGGTTTTCCAATTGTTGAGTGCTTGAAATTGGTTTTCAAGGTTGGACTTAGGTGCAGTGAAGAATCTCCTACAAACCGGTTGGCAATGAGTGAAGTCGCAAAGGAGTTGATCTCAATCAGAGAGAGGTTCTTTAAAGCCAGAATAACAACCCGACGTTGAAGTGTTTATGGTTTTGATACGAACTTTGCAACCTACCGAAAAGGCTTGTAATATCTTTTCTTAATAATTTGTGGGTTTTACTCTACCAAACATATTTATGCTTGCAAAATATTGTTTGTTAATGAGTGCTTGAATTATATGCAGACAATGTATGACTGTTGTTTTACCAACTTTTTATAAAAGCTAATCCAATAAATGTTCCCTTTCAATTTCATGTCCCACCACTCCAACTGCAGCTTCTGTGGCCATAACATTCATCCAGTACGTCCTTGAACACGATATAAGCCGAGTAACGAGTTCTTGAACACAATGTATTCGTTCTGCTACGAATCTCGAACCAACATACATCGTGAAGCTCACTGCTTTTATTTGGATTTTCTTAGTTTTCGTAATGCAAAGTTCTGTTTTTTTTAAAAGAACGCATAAACACCGAAAACCTTTTTGCATTCTTTAACAATGAATGAATGTTGTGCCCAATGCCATTTGAATTTTCTCTGTTTTTCATTCAAAAGTTCTGGTGTTTTCTGTGTATATGCTTTTTTTTCTTAATGATCTTGAGGTTTTTAAAAAAATCTGGACGACCAAGATAAGTTTTGAAGGGAATAGTAGTGAACAATTTAGTTTCCTAATAATTTATCTTTTGGTATTCTTTTTCTTGGGCTACAAGTGACTCATCTAACTGAATTAGACAAGTCCCATGTATGAACGGTGAATGTTTTGGTGACTTCATTGATCAATCATTTTCTTTTGTTAATGTTAAAAAGCAGCTTGTCACATCTTTTTTTTTTTTGATAACTATCTGAATATAGTAATGTCTGTGTTTTTGATCAAGTCAAGGGCTTTTTGTTTTATTATCATTCATGCCTATATTAAAACTGCAACTTTTTTTGTATGTATCTCTATGGTTGATCTAGCTTAATTACACACTTCCATGTTTATAGGCGAATGTTGGTGATTGCATTGGTCAATCAATTCTAAAGAAAACGTAAGATGTAAATTTCATTTCTTCTTTTTTCATTGTAACTCAATTCTATTCACTTGGTCTTTGAAAAAATAATTGAATTCAAAGAATTATGTGTGAAAACTATTAGAATACATAATGATATTTCAAAGTTTCTGTCATGTAACAGGTGTCTTCAGTTCTCTCAGGTCAACAAGACAGATGTGATATAAGTGATCTGTTTATATGACGTTCCTCATAAATGTTTGGTCCAGGAAATCAAACCAAAGAAACTTTGAATATATACTATTTTTCTTTGAAATATAAGAATGTAACAAAATAAGCCATCTGTTTTTATGACGTTCCTCATAAATGTTTGGTCAATTTGTTGATTTCTTAATTCGTAAACCGACGATGTCTACTACAGCTACTTGACTTTCATGGCTTGTATACATTAATTAATGCATACAATTTGTATACTCTTTGCAGTCTTCTCTATGCGGTTGGGAGCCATTAATGTAATGCTTTAAGTTGCAATATCACCACAAGTGTAAGGCATTTCGCAATTGCTTCGTCCCTTATATTTACTTTCTTGCAAAAGAAGCTCCACAAGCTTTTGTCCAAATTATAAATTTTAAAAAAAAAAAAAAAAAAAAAAACGAGAAAAAGAAGAAGTAGAAGCATGAGACTGTTTCTCTTACTTTCTTTCAGTGCCCTCATGTTACTTAAAGCATATGGTATTACTGATGAAACTGATAGGCAAGCTTTGCTGGAGATAAAGTCTCAAGTTTCCGAAGAGAAAAGAGTTGTCTTGTCCTCATGGAATAACTCATTCCCGGTTTGCAACTGGATTGGGGTTACATGTGGCCGAAAACACAAGAGAGTTACTAGTTTGGACCTACGAGGATTGCAATTAGGCGGAGTAATATCACCATCTATTGGTAATCTTTCGTTTCTCATATCGCTTAATCTCTCTGGTAACTCTTTTGTTGGTACCATTCCTAAAGAGGTGGGAAACTTGTTTAGACTTGAATACTTGGATACGAGCTTAAATTTTCTAGGAGGAGGGATTCCAACGAGTTTGTCTAACTGCTCTAGATTGTTATACCTTTATTTATTCTCAAATCGCCTTGGAGAAAGTGTTCCTTCAGAACTAGGGTCACTGACGAAGCTTGTTAGCTTAAATTTTGGTCGAAACAGTCTGCAAGGAACACTACCCGCATCTCTAGGAAACATGACATCCCTTGTATATCTTAACTTGGGAATTAACAATATAGAAGGAGGAATTCCAGATGGTTTTGCTAGAATGACTCAGTTGGTGGGTATTGAATTATCAGGGAACAATTTCTCAGGTGTTTTTCCTCCTGCTATCTACAACGTGTCCTCACTTGAGCTTTTATACATCTTTAGTAATGGTTTTTGGGGTAATTTGAGGCCTGATTTTGGTAATTTGCTACCAAACCTTAAAGCACTAACTATAGGAGATAATTATTTCACTGGAACCATTCCAACAACACTTTCCAATATCTCGAATCTTCAAGATTTTGGAATAGAGGGTAATAAATTTACGGGAAGTATTCCTTCGAGCTTTGGAAAGCTACGAAATTTGCAATACTTGTCTCTTCTTGGTAATACTTTGGGAAGTCACTCTTTTGGAGACCTTGAGTTTATTGGTGCTTTGACTAATTTCACCCAACTACAAGTGTTAGATGTTGGTGACAATAGGTTTGGTGGTGACTTGCCTACTTCCATTGCCAATCTGTCCACAAACCTCATCTATTTAAGCTTTCAAAAAAATCGCATCTCTGGAAACATTCCTCATGACATTGGGAATCTCATAAGCCTTCAATCACTTGGGTTGAACGAAAACTTGTTGACAGGACCACTCCCAACCTCTCTTGGTAAGCTTTTAGGATTTGGGGAACTAAGTGTTCATTCAAATAAAATGTCAGGGGAGATACCATCTTCTATAGGCAACATCACTATGTTACAAAGACTTTATTTGTACAACAATAGTTTTGAAGGAAATGTTCCTCCGAGTCTCGGTAATTGTAGGCAGCTACTAGATTTACGGATGGGATATAATAAGTTGAATGGGACTATACCTGAAGAAATCATGCAAATCTCAACCCTTGTTACCCTAGGATTGTCAGCTAATTCATTGACCGGCTCTCTACCAAATGATGTTGAAAGATTACAAAATCTTGTTGTGTTATCACTTGGTAATAACAAATTGTTCGGACGACTCCCACAAACCTTGGGAAAATGTGTCTCGTTGGAACAACTTTATCTGCAAGGAAATTCTTTTGACAGAGATATTCCGGATATAAGAGGGTTAGTGGGTGTTAAAAGAGTTGATTTCTCAAACAATAATCTCTCTGGAAGTATACCTGGATATCTTGCAAACTTTTCCAAGTTGGAGTATCTCAATCTATCTTTTAACAATTTTGAGGGGAAAATGCCAACAGAAGGAATATATAAGAATATGACTATTGTCTCAGTATTTGGAAACAAAGATCTATGTGGAGGCATCAGGGAGTTGCAACTAAAGCCATGCCTCGTGGAAGCACCACCGATGGAGAGAAAACATTCTTCTCATTTGAAGAGAGTTGTGATCGGTGTCACCGTAGGCATAGCTTTGCTTTTGATATTGCTCATAGCTTCATTTGCTATATGGTTCAGAAAAAGAAAGAATAATCAGCATACTAATAATCAAACTCCTTCCACTTTGGGTGCCTTCCATGAAAAGATAAGCTATGGAGATCTCCGAAACGCGACAGATGGCTTCTCTTCGAGCAATATGGTTGGGTCAGGAAGTTTTGGTATGGTGTTTAAGGCATTACTCCCAGCAGAGAACAATCTTGTTGCGGTGAAAGTTCTAAACATGCAAAAACATGGAGCGATGAAGAGCTTTATGGCAGAGTGTGAATCCCTCAAGGACTTAAGGCATCGTAATCTTGTGAAACTTTTGACGGCTTGTTCGAGCATTGATTTCCAAGGAAACGAATTCAGAGCTCTCATCTATGAGTTCATGCCTAATGGAAGCCTAGATATGTGGCTGCACCCAGAGGAAGTGGAAGAGATTCGTAGGCCCTCAAGAACCTTGACACTTCTTGAAAGGCTCAACATTGCCATAGACGTGGCTTCTGTTTTAGACTATCTTCATGTTCATTGTCATGAGCCTATAGCTCATTGCGATCTTAAGCCAAGCAACGTCCTCCTAGACGATGATTTGACTGCTCATGTTAGTGATTTTGGTCTGGCTCGACTGCTCCTCAAATTCGACCAAGAGTCCTTCCTCAATCAACTCAGCTCCGCTGGCGTGAGAGGAACCATCGGTTATTGCGCACCAGGTAACTGTAACCAAACATATGTAAAATTGAATATAGAAATTTATTTTATCTCTTTAATCTTGTTTATGTGAATTATGGTGTAGAATATGGAATGGGAGGACAGCCATCAATACATGGTGATGTGTATAGCTTTGGGGTTCTCCTTTTGGAAATGTTCTCTGGAAAACGACCAACCAATGAGTTATTTGGGGGAAACTATACACTACACAGCTACATCAAAGTTGCGTTGCCAGAGAGAGTATTGGATGTTGCTGACGAATCAATTCTTCACGTCGGTCTCAGACTCGGTTTCCCGGTTGCTCAATGTGTGACATTGGTTTTCGAGGTAGGACTTAGGTGCTGTGAAGAGTCTCCTACCAACCGGCTGGCTATGAGTGAAGTTCTCAAAGAATTAATCTCAATCAGAGAGAGGTTCTTCGGAGCCAGAAGGACAGCTAGAAGTTGAAGTGATTATGGTCTCCCCTATAAACTTTGCAATCTATGAAATAAAGGCTCATTTTCAGGCCTATATAATATCGTCGTCATCATTCGTTTTCATTTTTTTTGTGTATGCATACAAATTTATGCTTGGAGAATATTGCCAAGAAATGCTCTGTTATTTTGTAATCAAATATGAAAGTTGTGTTTTGAGCTGTTTATAATTAATAATTCATCAATTTCGTTACTGGCTTGGTTTTAAATCATCAATTTAATTTTGAGAGGTGAAATCAAATTAAAGGAAATCACTGTGATTTAATATAGTTTTGGTTGAAACTATTATATAATATACTTCTCAAATCTCTCTGTGTATCTTCCCTTCAGGTGAAAAACGAAAGAGATATGTAGAAAATGTCAAAATTGTGCACATCCTTGGATAAACGAATTCGATAAGACCTATTTACTTGCTTTGATCTTGGAATGCTAAAGTCTTGAGCTTCTCTTCTCTATATGCTCTGTTTTTTTTTTTTTTTGGCCATTAGGTCTTGTCCCATTTTTCCTTTTGTGCAGTTGGTGTTTCTTCTTCTTTGCTACTTTGTTGTGGTTCGATTCAGTTTCACTTCCATAGGAAAAAAGTCATTTTCAGCGGGAAAAATATATATGTACTAGCAGACATTTGATCATCAGTTAAAGTAACATGCTTGATCTGTTGATCACCTACTCTAAAAACGACTCGACGACGATGCTTATCACTTATAGAAGCTTGTTCGCAAAACAAACAAACACAAAACTAGTCGTGGAGCCATGAATGCGGGTAGGCATGTGCATGGTTTTTTCAGTTATTTTGGTTCAGGTTTTTAGGGTTTTTCCAGGTTTTGGTGAAAATAGGGTCCAAATAAAACCAAATTACAGTACATTTCGAATTGGTTTGTTTGAAAAATGTTGGTTTTGTTCTGATTCGGGTTCGATTTGGTTTTAGATAACAAAAATTAAAATAATTAATTAATTTTAATGCATATTTTGGATTTTTTTATATTTATCGTTTTCTATATTTTTAACCAAAACATTTGTTTTTAATAATTCGGTTAACTATCAAAAGTATGTAAAACATTGAAAAAAAGATCCGAACAGTTCAGCCATTAAGCTCAAAATTTATTAGAGAACCCAAAGAAAAAAAGTCAACGAGTTGGGTGTGAGACAGTGTGACATTAAAATATGTGATGTGGCTAAGGTAAAGCACCTCTACTTGGATCATGCTCGTTGTGCTTCACAGGCACAAGTCAAACAAACACTCACATTTTCTTCTGCATTTAATTCACTACTTTTTCTAACAATTTTGGCTTCTCCTGTAGCACCTTTATTTTATTAGTTTTACATATTCTATGAACCACTAGATTTTGCCTCCTACATATATACTTATATCGGATACAAAACTAGCTTTTGCTCTTTATTTTTCTTGAAATAACTTTTTTTTTTTTTGGTTTTCATTACCTCACCAGTAAAAGAACTCATATCTACAACTAAGTTATATAGTACAGTTTAAAGTCATCTAAATCTATGTAATTAATGAGGAAAAATGAGTGTTCTACCTACTGATTGTGAATTTTATGGAAACATGAAAATCTGAACCCTAACCATATCAATACTAATTAAGTGACATTAATTTGTATAACCAAATGAGCCACAAAATAAAAATAACGTTACATTAATAAAGATGATGTACACTTTTAGGTCTCTACTACATTTCTAGAAGATATCATCTCCACGTCGACAATAAAAACAAAAAAAAAAAAGATAACATCTCCACAAAAAAAAAAAAAAAAGATAGAGAAAAAATGTGTTAAAAACTTAAGAGTTACTACAACTGACTAAATCCCTAATTACTCGAATATTATCATGATAAGGATTCAAACAAAACTAAAGAGTCCTTAATTATACAAATTGTTTATAACTAAGCCTCGTCGTTCCTCAACCAATCGTCAAACTTTTTTGCTTTCTAGAACAACACTTCTTGACCCTCTAGTGACATGTTATTAATGATCATATCGTGGCTTTGCTCATCAAAGAGCCATTTCTCGAACAAAGAAAGAGAGCCTTGTGTAATTAGACCATTAATGTCATTGTCTATTAGTTTTGGCTTCTCTTCAGCTTCATCCATGGAGTTGAAGCTGAATAAAGAATGGTCAACCCCTTCTCTGTCTCCTTCGGTTGTGCTAGGGCTCGAAGCTGCCGTGGTGATAGCCATCCCGGTGGCTGCAACCGGCGAGGGCACTGAGGTCTTTGGTGTGTCTTTCATAAAATTCTGAAGCAAACGAGCGATGTTCTCTGCGCTTGAAGCATAGACCCCAGATGGGTATGGATTAGTGTTTCTTGTGGTGGTGGTGGTGGTGGTAGAGGAAGAAGAAGATGATGGACCATAACCAAGATCGGTAATAGAGAAATTAGATGGGTTTTGTGGTTTATCAAGAGACAAGGCATCACAAAGAGCTTGTTTAGCCATGTTGATATCTGTCTGAAGCCTTCTCTCCCATTGACCTTTGCTGGAGTTGTTGCTTTGATGTGAAGTAGTGTTTTTGTTTGATGAAGAGAAGTCTTTATTATCAAGGCCATTGTTGATAGTACTATCACAAGAATCATTCATCTTCTTAAGCTTTTTCTTCAAATGAGTGTTCCAATAGTTCTTTATATCATTGTCTGTCCTTTCTGGAAGGTATGATGCTATAGCTGCCCACCTTCATAAATTATTTGGTCCCCAAGTTATTTAAAGTCCAAAACCTTATCTTTTATACATACCAAAAAAATAATGTTTGCATACTTTTATAGATCATGTGCATGTGAATATTTACCTGTTTCCCAAAAGAGCTTGAAGATGGAGAATCATCTTCTCTTCATGCTCGGTGAAATTTCCACGTTTAATCCCAGGTCGAAGATAATTAGTCCACCTCAATCTACAGCTTTTGCTACATCTCCTCAAACCTAAATCACCACAAGAATAAAAAGATAATTTCATTAAAAAGAGTAATTAATTTGTGATATGTGGACAAAAAAGCTGGTGCCATAAATCGGATATTATTACAATTTTTCCTTTTCATTAAATGATCATACCAACCAAATGGAAGCCAGAACAAAAGAATCACAAACCCAAGAAAAAAACAAAAAACATTAAAGGGTACTTCTGAAGAGTATAGGGGTTAACAATTGAAATTAAAAATATTATTGTTCTAACATATAATATTAAGATAGAAGAAGAGATACCTGTATGAGTAGGCACAGATCTCCAGTTTCCAGGACCATGTTCTTGGATGTAAGAAACCAAGATGATATCTTCCTCTGGTGTCCATGGCCCTTTCTTCACTCCAATCTTGTCACAGCATGGTGGTCTTCCCATCTCAATCTTCTCTATGTATATATCACTTTGTGATTAGGGTAAGAATGGAACGGTTTGTTGTATGAGCAGAGAGAAAGGGCTTTGATGATGATCGGATATATATATATAGATGAAGAAAAAGTTAAATCTTTTTTTTTTGGCTTGAGAGCTTAGGAAATTGTAGGGTTAAGAGTACTTAAGACAAAGAGGTACAAGTGGTAGGTGGTTTTGTCTGAAGATGTAGAGAGAGAGCTTGTGTATATTTATACAGCGAGAGAGATAGAGAGAGGGATTTAAGCTGAAGAGTGAATTAGTAGCAATAATAATATATAGAGTTAAAAGTAACAATAATGAAGAGTGGGGTTTTGCGATCAAAGAGTCAACATGGACAGCCAAATGCATTTACTCTCTAGCTCTTCAAGTCAGCCTCCTCTCTCTCTCTCTATCTCTATCTCTCTCCACCATTACTCCATGCTTTCTCTCTCTATTAGCCTACAATTTTTTCTTTGTAATTAGTCCTTTCATATTATCGCTAAATAACCCTTAATTTTGTCTCCACATGAGAACATATGTGCATGTATCATTTTTTTAGGTGTTCAATCTGATTGGGTTTAGAAAGACTTTGATAGCACTAATGGGTCCACAATGAGAGTGAAATGAGTATATAACTTCTATTTATGTAATTAATTAAAACCTTCTCATTATACATTCGGGAAATATACACATAAATTAAACAGTTTAAAAGGATTCTTATAATGTGAATTTGTAAATTTAGGTTTCCACTTCCATGCATATATATAATAATTTCATTTCCTGCTTAAAATTACTCAACTGGTTTTAATACTAATTTTTCTAGTTATTGAGCACCAGGAACCGGAATTTAAACTAATTATATGCCTCTCTAAAACTTTTGATTTTTTATGAGTATGTTGTACATATCATATGAAAATTATTACATGATCTCAAAATATATAAAAATAGTAAACCACTAAAGAAAATGTTTAGTTTAGTTAAATCTTAGTTAGTGTTAAACTCTATTCCAAAGCTCATATCTCAAATTCCTCTTTCGCTTTCTCTACTTCCATGGAGATTTTCGATCACTAACATATATTCTAGTAGATATGCAATCAAACCGAATCAAACCAAATATTTTGGCTTCAATCTCGTCAAATTCTCATGAACATTTAACATGTATAAACCATACCAAACCGAATCAACCCTTTCTTTTCTTTTCTTTTTTTTGGTTCAAAAATCAACCCTTTCTTATTATCAATCAAATATGGACATCAGAAAAAACACCGAATAAGGAATACTTTATTATATATATGTTAAAATAGCTAAACTTGAATTGATGAGAATTTAGTCGAACATGTACAAATGTTCATTAGTGGTGTGACTTGTGAGCTTTTGTAGGTTATTGAATTGAACGGTTGATAAAAGATAATCGTAACATATATCCCCACATTCTCAATAAGGAAAATGTCCACACATATAGATCTTTTGGTGATGTTGGACCTGTTGGTCATATTTAGATCGATAAACTTTTTTTTAGAAAATAATAATGATTTTTTTTCTTAACACTAAGTACATATTGGTTTTTAAAACAGTTTAAGCAATTCAAAAAAATTACAAGAAACGAGAGGAATGTTGCAAAGCGCGTCGTCGTTGTGTATTGAGCTTTTAATTTGGATAGGAAATATTATTATACGTATCTAAATAATAATCCATAGAATATAAAATACAAAACTAAAAAGCGAGATACTACACTACAATAGATACAAATTCAACGGGCCGTAGAAATTAAACTTTCATTGAACAAAATAGGTTGAAACCCCATACGCCACGTCTTTTTGTATTACGTAACCCATGTCCCGAGGATGATGGTATTAAAAGTTTACTTTGACTAAAATCGTCACATAGACACCTATCAAATATTCTGCTTTTTATAATAAAGTGTTTTAGTTTTATTGTAATACTAGATCATCACCCGTGCTATATAGCACGGGATTTAATATTTTTCATGAATTAAATTGTATATTTTGTTCGAAGAAATAAGGAATAATATAGTATAATAGTATAATATAAAATAGAATATATCATAATATTTTATATTTCTTACTATTTGGATATAATGTTATATATTTTATTTGACTAAAGAAGGAGAGAATATTGTATTTTATAATCTAATATATTAGCAGCATTAGATTTGTATTTTTTTATATGAGATTAACAATTTCTTTGGTTCAATTAGGAATTGATAATTTTATTGTGTGATTGTGAACAAACAAAAAAATAGTTGTATTCGGTCTAAGTTTTTTAATAGATTATATTGGGTTTGTGGGGCCTAGTTTCATGGTTTAAAAAAAGGAAAAAAAAACGGTTTAACATACCTTTGGAATTTGCTGATGTGTTCCTATTTGATGTCTGCTTGAATTTTGTTACCCTGTAATTAAAATAAGATGACTTAAAACTTACGGCACATATATTACAAAGAGAATTGTATAAAATTTCAATGGTGCTTACAGCCTTATCTGTCAAAATCATTTCCAAAGACATGCCAGAACCTTTTGTAAAATGAATCCACGAATGAAGTATACTAACTTGAATACAACAAAAAGTCTTAACAGGCTTCAAGTTGTTAATAGGAGTGTAGGGACTAACCATAGCCATTTCTGCTGTATTTTTTAATTGTAGGATATGAGAATGGTGCTGAGATGATTTCTATGAGAAAGGTACGTCAAACCTAAATGGATATTTATAGTTGTAGATTGTTTGTGATAATTAGGAGATTCAGAAATATATTAATTAGCATAAAATAGTTAGATAATATTTTAGAAAGGTATATTCTAGATTATTGGGAATATAGGATCAAAATTATATAACAGAGAGATTTGACAATCTTTAGAAAAGATTTTAAGGAAACTGAATAGCTGATTATAGCAAAAAAATTATTGTTAAAATATTAAAGGAACCAAAATATTTGAAAAATCAAATATAGTTGATAGGAGAATAATAATTATTTTAAATATATTAGTTTAAATTTGGTAGAGTTAAGTTAGGAAAATTAAAAATGCAAATTTACTTTTATGAAATATAGTCCATATTTTTAGGAAACTAATTGATTTAGTTTGTATATTTCCTTAATTATTGCTAACATATGGAAATATAAAAATATTGTTTAACTAATAGAGAGCGAGAAAATATTTAAAAAGAAGAATAGTTTTAATGAATTTTTTTATTTAATATTGGAAAGTTTTTAACATAAAAGATCTTTCGTGATAGGTTAACTGTGAATGAATACGATTTTGTATATATTGTCATAAGATTCAGAAAATTATTCATTCTAAAATATCTTATAAATAATATCTTTGAAATATTTAATATTTAATCTAATTATATATTTATTTTGAAACAACGAATTCAAAATAAAAAACGAATTAATAAAAAATAAAATTAAACGTTGTAATTGATTTCTTTTGTTGAGTTATATTCAAGTTCAACTGAATTTATTTATAATATCATAAGTTAAACATCTAGAAATGAGAAATGGTTATATATATTTAAAAAAAACTCGATTAACATAATCGAAATTTGTGGATACCAACATAAAATTTTTTATAAATCGAAAATTGAAAAGAAATAAGAAAAAATAGAACATCTATTTTCATACAATTTAGTATCTAATTTACAAATGTTTTACTTTAATGGCAAAATTCCACCACAAAAAAAAAGCAGTCTTCTTTCGAGCACCACCAATACTTTTTTTGGCTTATCTTCAAGAACATGTTAGATTAATACCATCTTTTGGTAACCTGTGACATAAATTGTTGAAATACAAATTAGAAAACTTGTTAATCTTCAAGATATGGAAAAAAAATCTAAATATAATTTTATTAAGCCTTGGAAAAAAGGCCATTGGAGTTCTGTTGAAAACAGAAAAATAAATAAATATAAATATAAATTTTTAGTCCAAAAAAATAAAAATAAAACAATTTCTAGTTTTGTAGATACCTTATTCTACTTGTCATCATAATCTTCAATTTGAAATTAATATCTCCTTTTATTTCTAGCATCACCATCTCCTCTACCAATTGTATTCCTGCACACAATCACAAACATCAATAAATGTTAGTGAATCAGAAACATTTCAATATTAAAAAATATTATAATCATATCACCGTAAAATTATCAATCCTCCATGGATTGTATCCCTGCATACAATAACAAACATCAATAAACGTTAGTGAATCACAAACTCTTGAATATTAAAAACTTTTATGATACATATCATCGTCAAAAACCTGAAAGCAAAAAAGAGAGAAATGAAAAGAAAGGGAGAGAGATTAGATATCATCGTGAAAGTGTGTGATACTATCATATCTTATTTATAGAGTGAGGAAGTGTGTTAAGCAATTTATCTCTAACAAATAAAATCGAAATAAAATAAATAATTTCAAAATCTAATAAAGAAATCTTTTTAAATCTTTGTTAGGGAATCTTCTAAGAATATCCCCATAATTTATCCAATTAGAAATATACGATAATTATTTATTTTGTTTTATTGTTTGAAATTTCCTACTATTAATTATTTTGATTTATTAGTTGGTAGATTTGTAATTCGCATTAATTATGATTTTAGAACAATTCGAAATCGAATTATTTAATTAGAGTATTTATAGTCATGTGCAATTACTAATTTTTAGGAAAAAATAAATGGATTTATTTTTAGATTTTCCTATTATGTTTAATGTTTTGTTTTATTGGGTTTAATAGGTACTAAATATATGGGATAGTTATGACGAATTGTTTTTTATTTTATTAGTTTGTAGATTTTTGATATATTTAATTTGAATGGTTTGTGAGTTAATGTTGATTGATAATTTGATTTTAAAATTTTCCTATTAATTAGGTTAGTTATTGTCTATTGTTTTATAGTTTCCTAAAAATATGGGGTATTTAAAACTGTTTCCTAATTAGGTATTTCGTAATAATTGTGATAAATACAATTATCAAATTCCTATTAAATATATATATATATTTTGTGACCGGCATTGGATATACAATTTAATTCATGAAAAATATTAAATCCCGTGCT